TTAAAAGGAGAGGTGACTCATCTCTGATGCAAAAGAAAACCCAGAGCAGTAATTAAACTAAAATTAAACGAGGGTGATGAAATGCAAAGTCAAAAGAGACTCTGTTTTTCTCTGCCCAAACTTTAAAATTGAGCCTTCTTAAGGAATGCATCCTCAGTTTTTTCTTACTTGACTCACCTGTTGGGTGACCTCATTACTCACTGGGCATCAGCCCTGTCTCTTAGCGAATGACTGGCATCGCTAACCATACTTTTCAGAGCTCGGGGCTTCTCCCTTCCCTGCCATGCCACAGCTTCTACCTTCTTGTAATTCCCACACAGTGCCTGGAAATTACAATGTCTCAAACAGAACTCACCTTATTCCCCATCCAAACAACTCCATGGACTTTCTGTCTCTGTGCATGACACTGTCATTCACCCAGCCCTCACTATCTTGTGAGTGTTTCTACTTCCTCTGCCACCTCTGGGCTCCAGGACCTCACGATGCTATCCAGCATCTCCCAAATTGTTTCTTACTTGTAATGCCTGGGACTTGCCTTAGCACAGGCTTTAACTCCTGGGTCTTACAATGGGCTCTTTGCTGGTTTTTTTGGAAGATATTTGCTCCAAGTCTACCATTGAAACTGCTACAGAGTGGGCTTTCTAAAACCAACCTTTGGTCATGTCATTTTCCTTACTTAAAATTCTTCACTGGCACCTGGTATGATGAATTCATATTTTTCAGCATGGTATATTTAAAACCCCACATCTTCTCCTTTGCTACCTTTCTATTATCTTTTACTTTTTAACTACAGGTTTCCTGAATTCAAATCAAACATCTCTCTCTCTCTTTCAATCCCTCCACCCCCTTTTTCTCTACTATAACACCTAAATTTTAGGCAGTAACTCTTTTTTCACATTCAGCCAGAGGCAGAGCTTTTATTTCTGTGATGTTGCTAAAAATGTTAATTTAATTCATTTAAAATGTATTGTGCATCTATTATGAAATTCTAGGAATTGGGGAGGTTGGGGAATGAAGGCACAGTTGAGTAAAAGCAGACAGGATGGGAAAACAGAGAAGACCCAGAGGACTCTGAGAGCCCTTAAGCAGCCCCCCCTTAATTTCCAAGAGCACAGCAATCAGAAGCCCTGGGGAATAGTTCTGCTGAGCAGAGGCCACTCTGCCCTGGGACCAGTTGCAATCCTAGATGGCCTGACATTCCTTTGAATGGAGACTGAGTAATGGATGCAAATGGACTGTCGCTTAAGAGCTATTTTCCCAGCTTTTTAAACACAGACGAACAACACCCAGAATCAGCCCTTGAAATGGGACCCTTGTTATTGCAATATTTATTTTTCATATGGTTATATAACTCTAGCTGAGCTCACCTAAGAGATTGTAGGCTCTCTCATTTGCAGAGGTCAGTTTGCCATAGACAGGTTTTTACTCTATTGCCATGAAGTCCATCAGAGAAAAAAGCCTTCATGTTAATTAAAGTGCCACATTGCCTTTGAACCTTGGGGGAAACTGTGACACAGTATGCTGAGAGAGAGAAGGCTCCATGTTCTCTACCTAGCTGAGTATTCTGTGTTCTTATTTTGAGCAGAGCATCCCCAGAATAGGGGAGGAGAGAAGGGGAATTAAGAAAAAAGGGAATGAAGGGGGAAAAAAAACCCAGAAAACACGCTTCTGTAATTCTTCCTCTTGCTAGAAAGTCAAACAAAACTGTAAACATTACAATATAGGAATTGCTTCATGGTTCATTTGAAAGTTATCTCCACCAAAGTCATAAAATAATTCATAATTAATTATCAATTGATTGACACAGGCATGTGCCATAGTTCTGAGGGCTGAGATCAATGTGAATTGAGGCAGCTAAAGGGGCCCAAAGAGAAGAATAGTGCCGAAGTGTGGAATGGGAGGAACAGCTCTGCAAAGGTGGAAGGCAGTGGTGTCCTCTGGGTGATGTGAAGTCGCAGTTCCTTGATAATCCCAATCATGCAGTCAACTGTTTGAAGCCGAATACGTCCCACATTTGTATATGTGCACATTGAACATGCAGAAACCTTTTCTTGAGATTTGGACTGAATTGCCCTAGAATGAGTCTTCTATTTTGTGTTCAACTCTATATTTTGTATGGAAGCACATAGAGTACCTCTTCACTTTTCCTCCTACTTAATTCCATTCTGCTTGAGGATGCTAAAAACAATGAGTAATTTGTTGTGTATCCCTCCCGCTCTTTTCTATGCAGAGAGAGAGAGATAGAGATACATAGTCAAGTGTATACATATATTCATATGAATTTTAAACCTAAATGGGATCATCTATATACATATGATTCTAATGAGTTGTTTAATGTATTGCTTCAACTCGTACCTTGATGGGATCCTTCCCTGTCAGTTGCCTTCATTGCTTTTAGCTTGACAGCGTCCTGTAATAAGGAAGCCTCAGAATTTATTGAAGCTGTATGTTACTGGTGGGCATTTAGGTGTTTCCAGTTTTTCCTTATGGCCATTAAAAAGCATATTGATACTTATAATTTTGGATTAAGTATACATTTGTCTTTAGGGCATGTTCACAAAAACAGGATTGCTAATTTTTAAAAAGCCAATGGTTTAAGTCCCATAAAGATTCTATCTCTATATATCCCACCAAAGCATATACTGTGTGTTAATAACCATTTTCCCACATCAGTGTTTGCAAAATTAATGTGTGAAAAGCTTTATATTATTACTGTTTTAAAATATATTTTCTTGGTTACTAGTGAGTTTAACATCTTTTTATGTGATTGTTCATTTTATTTTTTGTCTATTTTTATTGTTCCAAAGAAGCCATTTGTTTCATCTCTATTCCTCATTAATTAGAATTAAATCAGTTTGATTTCCACTGAATTTTTTTAACCATCAGATACCTAAGCCAAGTCATGTGAAAGTGTTAAGTGAGTTAAATAATCAATTGATCAATATGTATTCACTAGGCAATTAATGCCTCTAGTCTGTGCTGGATATTGTTGGTATACAGCTCTGGCTTTTAAGAAGCTTATATGATCTTTTAGGGTGATAAGACTCAAACTGTAATCAATGACAGTACTACAGTTTACTAGACCCCAGGGCTGTGAACAACCAGGGAAGAGAGAGGATCTGTAGATTAGAATAGCTAGAAAAAGCTTACTGAAGGAATGACAGTTCTGCTTGACCTTGAGAGAGAATGGAGTGCATTTTAGACTGGGGAGTGTGAGCTGAGGTACTAAGTGGATTTCAGAGGGCAGTTAGGGGTGCAGCCATCCTGAAGCAAAGATTATGGAGGCCCATGGGAGTCTATGTGTTGTTGAGCTGCTGTGGACACTGACCCAGACCCACTGTATACACAGAGATTACTGTTTCCATCTCCACTCTGAGGGTCTGCCTCTGTCCATGCCCATCTTGACTTACCTTCAAGAGGCTATGTTGGGGAGTTTGGCTTTCAGGCTGAGGGTTCAGAAGGACAGATAAGGATAGAACATGGCTGTGCCCTTCCAAGCTCTCCTGGATCCCCCAGGAAGCCACTGGATCTGGAACCTGCCTAATTGCAGCCCCTAAAGCCTCGTCATTTTGTCCAGAGGCACCATTGCTGCAATTACTCTCCAAACCCAGAGTCAATTACTCACTGTGTGAATCACCCCCAAAAGATTGCTTTTTCCTTTTCCATTAGTATCACACATAATTGCACTCTGTGTGGTTCCTAAAATCTTATTCCTGACTTCAATGTCCATGAGAATCTGGGTTGATTAGAAAGTCCCTTCATCTCCTATCACTAACCTCTCCGACACTTTCCATAAGGATTTTTTTTACTATTTTCTTCATCAACAAAACATCCACCGCCTACCATTAATTATTTAGCTTCTTGTGAGGAAAGAATGGCTGTGTTTTCCCTGCTGATTTTTCCATATGTTCATCCATTCTTCTTTCTTCTTTGCCTTCTTATTAACGGGAAATGTTAACACATACCCTATAGTTGCAGGGTTGGTTGATTTTGATGGCACTGTACTTTCTCTTTTATAGCCACTATCCCTTGAGGACCCCCACACTACCCCACCTCTTGGCCCTCAAGATTGCCATGAGCTAACCAAGATCTCAGGCTTTCTGTCTGATGCAATTTCAAGCTGCAGCTGACCCCTGTTTTCACTCTCCTCCTGCTGTTCTATGTAGCTGTCCCATGTATTACCTGCCCTTGGGGCTTATTTAATAGGATCAACCAATTCATCATTGAAAATTTAACAACTGCATACTACCATAGCATGGGTTAACAAAAGTAAGAGTCATGCTGTGCCCTCACAAGCAGCAAGGGATAGGGAAAAGGAGAAGATAGAATAGAGTGGATCATAATGCAAAATATCAGCCTAGCTAGATGATAGAAAGGAGCAGGCAGTCCTCCATCTGGAATCCAAAAAGCAATAGTGACCTCATTTCACATTTAGGCCAGAATTCATATGTAAAAGGCTCAGTCTGGTGAAAGGACGTGTTAATAAGGAATTTTGGGTAGTGATGTTATTTCAAGAAAGTAAAAATATATTGACTCTTGGAGACACTGCATATGAAACGCATATAGCAGCAAAAGAGTACATGGTGGGATGAAGTGTTGGAAGGGCAGGAACATAAAAAAACATAGTATGTAAAAATTCAAAACAAGGTGGTTGAGGTTATAGGCTCAGGCACCAGGAAGTACTGTAAACCCAAGCTAAGGTGTCATCACTGAGAGTGAGCAAACACAGCAGGGGCTTATAGGGAGGCATATAGGGGGCATACAGATATTTGGGGAGTACTACATGGTAGCACAGGCAAGTCTAGAGTCACTTACTGGAGGATGTGAACCCACACATTAGATGCTAGCCTTGTCCAGTGTTGGGGTGCATACAATTTCATTCTAACCTCAAAGCAGCAGGATTTGCCAAGGTTGACAGGCTCATGTTGCTGCCTATTAGAAAATAGATCCAAGTCCTAAACTCTAGCTTTGTTTCAAAAATAAGAAGAGGACCCAAGAATTTCAACATGTGGTGGAAGCTGAACACTCTCTGTGTTAGTTGGAGTTTTCCAGAGAAACAAGACCAACAGGAGATTATGTATATACATGTATATAATGTCTGGTTTCAAAACAATACAAGATATAGTATAGTTTGTAAATGAGAAGTATAGATAGCACTTCCAGAATCACAAGAAATAACTGTGGGCTGAGCTAGCCAGTCATAGAGAAGTTGAGCTTCCTGTGGTCAATATCGTTTCCACACTTTACTCTCAGGACCTTGCCCATAATAGACATGTAATCCACACGTTTCCAAGCAAGGGAATGACGGGCAGAGCAGCGCCTTGATGCTATGGCGATGGATGCTCTTGCTAAAGGAGAAATTTTATTATGAAGAGAAGAGAGAAGTGAATACAGACCATGTGGAATTCCCATGATGAAGATAAATGGAGGGAAGGGAAGAGCATCAATGAATAGCATTCATGTTGGTAGTGATGATCATGATGATGATGATGATAACTTACTGAGTACTTTCTATAAAAATCATAGCTGACACTATTGAACACTTAGTGTCAGAGACTATGTAATAAACTTTACATACTAATGAGGTTAAACATCTTTTTATGTGATTGGTTGTTTTATGTTTCAACTCCTTATAACAGTACTGTAAGTAAAATATTATTGTTTCCTCTATTTATATAAGGTAATTGGAGAGGGTAAGTAATTTGCCTAGGAGCACACAGATAATAAGCAGCTGAGCTGGATTTAATGTCATCTTTGTCTGATATAAGCCATGCGCACTTACCTCTACTAGAAGCCCTCTTATGTGGTATAAAAGGAACTGGTCATTGTAGATTAATCAAAATACATAGATGTCCTTTCCAGGAGTAAAAAAATCTTTGTTTGGATTCTAACATCTGTCTCTCCACTAGAATTTTACTTTCAGGCAAGAAGCACTCTGCTGTTTTTCTCTGCATAAACCATAACCATGATGCCTCATCTACTATTTCCCATTTTGATTTCTTTAAAGTAATGCTAAATGTTATGAAAGATGACACTTAAAAGTTTTATGATGTTTTTCTCCCTACAACTAACATCTCTAATTCAACAGGGTTTGTTGTGCTGTTTTCCCCAAATTGCCCTCATCAAACATTTATCATTTAGTTTTCATGAAAGAAATCATTCTGTTTCTTGCATTCATATTGGCTTACATTTTTATTTATGGCCTACATATTATTTAAAATGTGTCATTATAACAGAAAGCCCAAATGGCAAAAATGTGTTTGGTCATAAACATGACCGACCCTTAGTGAGTATGAACCTCATGAATGGGAACAGAAATATGTAGGAGAGACGAGGACTGGCTCCCAGCGCTTTCAGTATGCCTTGTGCATAACAGAGAACATCACTTAATCCAAAGTGTGGTGCTTAAGTGTTAATTACTGTCTCTCACTACACTGTCTCTCAGCTGGAAGAAGAAGAATGCAAGGTCATGAAGGATGAGAGTTCAAGGAGCCAGTGCTGCTGAAAGATTAAGGATAATAGAAATTGCCTAAAATCTTATATTTATATATGTGTGTTTATGTGTGTGCATGTGTGTGTGCAGGTGGGCATTTTTGGCCAGTAAATAAGTTACAATTTTTTTTGAGACAGAGTCTCGCTATCATTGCCCAGGCTGGAGTACAGTGGTGCAATCTCGGCTCACTGCAACCTCTGCCTCCTTGTTCAAGCAGTTCTCCTATCTCATCCCCCCAAGTAGCAAAGATTACAGGTGCCTGCCACCATGCCCAGATAATTTTTGTATTTTCAGTAGAGATGGGGTTTCACCATGTTGTCTACACTGGTCTGGAACTCCTGACCTCAGGTGATCCACCTGCCTCAGCCTCCCAAAGTCCTGGAATTACTGGTGTGAGCCACCATGCCCAGCCAGTTATATCTGTTTTTGAAGGCAATTACAAAAACAGTGGTGAAGTTAGAAATCCGATTGTAAAGAATCAAGGAGTATCTGAATGGTGCAGCAGTTGAGATAGCAGGTGCAAATTTTTTTTTTTTTTTTTAAGAAATTAGGTACACAGGTAAAGAAGAACGATATGGAAGTGAAAGGAGGAACAAGAACAGATTGACAAGATTTTAGCATAAAGAAGACAAGATCATGTTTCTAGTATGAGAGCAGTATGATGATGGAGAAGGACATTGGAAGATGAAGAGGAAATAGGATGTAGAGAGGTGTTGGAAAGGAGGTGCTACAAAAACAAAGGCAGGTTGTACAAACACCAGTCCCCTAGAAGAGCAGAAGAATCTCTGACAGGACGGTGGGGATCTGTAAAAACACTAAGTCAGGATTCTGCAACTTCTTCAAGAAGAAACTCTATTTACAGATCTATAGAAAAAGCACAACATTTTTATTACAGTGAGGTTAATGGAGGTAAAATACATATAGTGATGATATAAATGAAGAAGTAAACAACTAGGAAGAGCAAGAAAAGCTTACTGGAAAAGGATACAATTGAAATGTGTGTTAAAATATCAAAAGGAATTTTCCAGGCCAACTAATGGAGACAAAATTCTAGGAGAGGCATAACTGGTGTGATCTCAGGGAGGCAGACAAAGGAGAGTTCTGACTAGTGGTTGATGCGGCTTCTGAGCAGAGCAGACAGAATGGGGTGGCTGAGGTTAAAGGAGGACCAATTGGCAGGGATGAGATACTATATTTTTTTAGCTGTTATTTGTAGTAAGGTGATTGGATTTTACCCTATGGTTTGAGTATTTTTTTCTAATATTGGCTTTTGATGATCTGATTCATGTCTATCACAAAGTTACAGACAGGATGGCACAAAAGACAGTTGATAACTGAAACATTCTTCTGAGGCTAGCAGTTTCATGATTCCCCTGTTTTAGGAGGTATTTCTGCAGTATCTTAAAGAAATATGTAGGATTTGAAGCATAAAACAAAGTGTCCCTGTTCCATAATTTAGGCCTAATGAGAATTCTCGAACGGTATTTTTCTGATCTGGAAAATAAGGTGAAAGACATGCACAGGTTAAAATGTACAGGTTACCTTTTTGTTCACTAAATCATTTTTAATTTTCAGAAAGAAGAAAGAAAGGGAAGAATAACAAGGAGACTTTTGTCTGAGGTCCCAAGGCAGAGGTAAAAGGCTGGAAGGGAAGATAAATATGAGCTCTCATCAGAGAAGAAGAATTGCTCTCAACCCAGGTAGGGAGAATTGGTCCGAAAGAAGGAAGAGTTTAGTAAGACTTTCTGAGGCTTCTAAGTCTTCCATGAGTTTTCTTTCCTTTTTTTTTTAAACATCGACCGAAAAGCTTTGTTGTCTAGGAAAGGGTAAAAGGATGTCTGGCTGAATTGGAATTGACAAAACTAGGCAACTCAGACAGGGCAGTCTCGGGAGCAGCCTTTAACCACAAAAGAGATATTGAAGGCGATGCAATCGATAGAACTGGAGCGGACAGGGGAGGAAGATGATGAAACCCATCAAATTCGATCACTGGGCAGAAGTGGTCAGTGTCAGCTTCCTCAGGAAGGGTCACTTGATGCCAGCTGCCTTTCAGGGACTTTAACCTTCCTTACTGATTACCTTCTTAAGATCACAAAATTTTAGTGTCAGGAGAGAATAATGCATGCTGCACTGGGATCCCTTTCACTATGACCTAGATGAGTGAGTTTCCTGCACTCATGGGTTACAGAGATGCCAACTCACCTGCCTAATGTATTTGATTACTATGACCTTTCTCCCTGAAGACATATTCATTTATTCATCAATTTGTTCACTTGTAAGTTACTCCCATCCATAGTAAGTTAAGGGAAATCTGGCTACAGATTCTTCATGGCTTCTCCCACCAAGAAGAGGAGTCTGTTTCACCCTGATTCAGCTCCTGGCCTGGCCTAACAGAACAGGGAGGATGATAAACATGTGGAGAGGCATGTGGCAAGAGTCCCTGACTGTCACAGTCATCTCTGCAGTGTTTGAACCCAGACACGTGTTCGAGCACAGCTGACATCATGTGATGAGGAAGAAATGAGCTCAGCTGAGTCCAGCCCAAAATGCTGGCCCACAGAGTCTTTAACAAACAAAAGGACTCATAATAAACATTTTAAGACAATAAGTTTTGGGTAGAATAGTTTATTATGTAACACAAGCTAATTGATATGCGATTTATATAAGGATAAATTTAAGAAAACTTAAAGTGGATAGGATACAGAAATATTTTCTGCAGAGTCTCTTAGGGCTCTCAGAGGCCCACCAATGAAGTTTAAGAAGATTAATTATCTTAAAACTGTCCTAATAAGTGGTCTATGAGCATCAAGAATATAGTCAGGCAAAACTCTGAGTATATTTTGATTGCACTTAGAAAACATCCATCCATTATAACGTGCATTATAACCAGACAACAATGGTATACATGATTTTTATAGAGGGGGCCCTCAGAAGCAAAAGAGAGGGGCTCTCTGTCCCACTGGGAAGGTGAGGTGCAGAGTATGTTGGGGCATCTCATAAGTGGCGGGTATGTGCCTACAGTAGTGTGGGATACATGTGACTATGAGCTTGATCACGTGCTCAAAGTCACCCACTTTCTCTCCTTGCTCTGTTCCCATTTCATCAAACAACCTTGGATTATAATTTGGTTTCCTGGATATATTTGTCTATGAGGAAGAACGTGCCGTTCCGTCACCAACATCCCATCTATTTAATAGTTATAAGTCTCATCGTATATTAATGAATTGAGCTTCTGTGTTTTATAGATTGTCTCTGTAAGCTTGATTAATGCATTTGTTGTGCTACTAGTTTGATTTTGAGCTTGGAATGAAAAGAATGGTGAATTCACCAAACACACATCCTCTTTAAGTGCCAGTCAGGCTCTTTGACTGATAATACTTGACCTCATTTGTACCTTGTCTTCAAACTGCAGCAGAGTTCAGATCCCTGATGCACAAGGCAATGTTCTTTTCACTTCTCCTTGTTGTTAATTATAACACTAGCTAATGTTTCTTGAAGGCTCAGTAGGTACCAGACATTGCTTTAAAGGCGTTCCACGGATAACCTTATCCAAAATTCGCAATCACCCTAGGAGTAAGGCTATTCTAATTTTGTAAATGAAGACACCAAAAGCCAGAAAAATGTGTAACTTTCCCAAGGTCACAGAAACAGGAGAGGGCTGATTCAGACCTAAGAGCTGAGATTCAGAAAGCTTCGCCTATGACCACCAAATTACATTCCTCGGCCAACTAGGGATGGTGCTTTTTCTCTGATACCTTCTCTTTAAGAAGAAATCCAGAACACCTCCAAATATCTATCAAATTAAGCCAAAGTCCTCTATGTGGCTTTCAAGGGCCTCTGTAATCTGATTTCAACATATTGATAGAACTTCAATTCCCATGTCTCATTTAACTTTAACAATCAATTACTTGAAATGTTTTATATGCCAGACATCAGGCTCTGTGCTGACAGCAAAACAAAGATGAGTAAAAGAATTTGTAGACTAAATTGGAGAGGAAACCCAAATCTGTGAAATATAACTAGCAAAACTAGGCAGAAAGTAAATGGCACTGTAAACATTTATAGTAGAAGAAATTCACTTCTGACATGAAGAGGCGATACGTTATAGGGACACCAAAATGAGGATTCTGCTAGACCAAGAGGAAAAAGAAAACAATTCATTACGGATAAGAAGAACAATATAAGCCCAAGACAAGATCTTAAAAGCACCATGGCCATTATAGGAACAGTAAATGGACAAGTATGATCAAAGCAAGGGATACGATTGCAATGAATGTGAAAAAAAATCCTGAAGTTGTGAACAGGTAAGAGGTTTAGCTATGAAGTGATAGGTCTGGTCCGAGAAGAGAAATTGCGTATTATGACTTTAGCACATTCACAATGAGCTGATTGTTGGAATTTTGAGAATTGTGAGTATATGAGTATAGACTAGCAAAAGTAACTAGAGTTATAAAGGAGTAATCCTTTAGCTTCCTTTTATTACCTGGCATCCTGGGATCCTGATAAAGCTGATGAAGAATAGTGAGATGCTGCAGGCAAGAACTCATGTTTTCTGAGGTGAATTCCAGGGTTCAGTATTCACTTGAAATTCTCCTCAATTGATGCTTTCCAGGGTCATAATGTTTATGATAGGCCTAGTATATACTCCTCTTACATGTTTGCAAAACCAAACAAGATATTAAAGACTCCCAAAACTTCTGCAGCACAAAAATGTGTTTAGTTCTATTTAGCTTAGTTTCGCTGACTAGCTGTTATGCAATTTCCCTGTATTCCTGCAAACACTGTTATTTTCTCATGGGTTAGTGTTCCCTTCTGTTCACGCTTTGGGAATCTTCTTTCTAAGTGATGTCTTTGAAATAAATGCTGCAATATATCTTATCCTCCCATTTGGGAACAGTAGACAGAACACAGAACTCACATTGGGGCAGCTGAGCTCTGGACCTCAGGACTTTGTGACTTTGGATAAATAATGAAGCTAAATCAATATTTTCTCATAGGCCGAGTGGGGCCGATGACTCCTGTCTTGTCTCCTAAAAGCATCGCAGGAATGGAGTGAGCTAACAGGTTGATAGTGTTTCATATATACAGAGAGGCCTACTAGTTTTATACACTGGGGTTTTAGTCTGAATATTGAACAAGGTCAGGACAGTGTTAATATTATAAGCAGATAATTTCTTTGTACCATTACCTCTAAATTCAAGTGGTCTGAAATAATATGGTTTCAGCATTGGCCCACAATCTTGAGTAATCTGATAGAAGAAGAAATACTTTTAAGAATAAGAAGATATACTCTGGCTGCCAGCTGTCCTAAAAACGATCTGTGTGAAGGGGCTCGGGATATTCCCCTCAAAATATGTCGCTTTGGTATATTGATTGTTTTGAGCTGAAGGCGATCAAGAAGCAGCAGATACAAGAGGATCTCTCTGCCTAAAAGCAGGGCATACTTTCCTTTGTAAAAAGCTCTCCTCATCCCATACCAGGAAGTGTTGAATAACTCTTATCACTAGAGATAGCCTGAGTCTTCATAATGAACCTTACCAAACAACTTATCTACTACACATTTCCTAGTCACCTTCACATAGTTTAACATCTGTAGGAGCCCAAACTACCTTTATCTCCACTTAGTTACTTATTCAGTTTATTACCATTGGTTGCAATGGTATATAAGCCCTCAGAACCAACTGCCTCTTTGAGTCTTCTGTGAAGCCCCTATACATGTAAAAATATTAACATCAATACAGAAACACATGCCTTTTCTTCTGTTAATCTATATTTCTTCTGTTTAATTTGCTAGCTCCCAGCCACAGAACCTGAGAGGGCAGGGGAAAATCTTTTATTCTTCTAAATATGCAAAGATCCTACACTGGGAACTTGAGAGACAGGGTGCTGATACACAAGCAGACATTTGTTCTGATTTGACTGGAGCAAGCTAGGTATCTTTTATTGCTGCTGCTTCATGACATTTGGAAGGAGGATTTTAGGCTAGGCTAAGGTCAAAGTCATCTCTAGATCTAGCACTGATGACTCTATTAGTACACAAAAGCACTGTTCCACTGTTGTGATCATGAAGAAGGGGCACATTAAAGAGCGATGGAGGATTTGAAATCCTACTGTGTCTCTTATTCTGAGGAGACATTGAGAATTTCTGATCTCATTTTCTCACAAGCATAAACTTTTCTTAAAGGAAGGAATCCAGATTCAGCATGTGAATGTACTATGGGAAAATTGAGGTTTTTATGTTTAATTTCCTGGTAAGTTTCCAAAGCCCAGTGAGTGCCTGTTTGACTCCTTCAGTACATGTATCCACGCTTCCTTTAGCATCAATCCTGATACCTGGTTATTAGCTTAGAATTTACCTCCTAATTACAGATGATCTGCCATATTAATTCCTGAGCTCCAGAGATTAGTGATTATCATTCTTTGGCTGATCTAAATTTCCAAGAAGGTAAGCCCCCTTCCCAGAGCCCCAAGAAAGGAAAGTAAGGTGGGAGGTTGAGGTAGGAGAATCACTTGAGCCCAAAAGTTTGAGACCAGCCTGGGCAACATGACGAAACCCCATCACTACAAAAAAAAAAAATACAGAAAATTAGCTGGGCCTGGTGGTACCTGCTTATAGTCCCAGCTACTCAGGAGGCTGAGGTGGGAAGGTAGCTTGAGCCCAGGAGGACAAGGCGGAGTTGAGCTGTGATCACACCACTGCACTCCAGCTTGAGAGACAGAGTAGAATCCTGTCTCCTGGAAAAAAAAAAAAAGAAAAAGAACAGAAAAAGTAAGAGCTAGTTTCAGAAGCTCAGGTGTAGGGATCACAACTTCTCTTTTGGTTGTTTTATTCTTTTTTGTTTTTCCTGGATATATTACTAATAGGCTAATAGTTGGGAATGTTGGAGGGAGAATCAGAAAGGGGGCACTGGGCATTATAACAAGCAAAAGGAGTGGATCCATGGATACAAGTATTTACGGAAGGATCTGGTTAGAAAAAAAGTGTTTCAGGCTTAGTATATATAGCAAATACTTTTTTCTTTGTTGTTGCTTCAGTTGGACTGAGAAAGCTGCTCATGGAGTTGGCAGTGAGATAGTCTACTAACCTCAGGAATGCCAATATGTCAAAAGGAAACCTTTTCCCTTCAGCAAATAAAATATTAAGTGGACTCAATGAAAGCCAGTGGGAAGTGGCCTGCAGAAGAAGATGAAAAATTAATCTGAATGCTTGGGAGACTAAGTAATTCACTTATTTCACAACCTCAATCAATTTTAATATTTTAGTATTTAATGTGAATTTGGTGCCTCCCGTAATATTTTAAAAGTTGTTTCTTACTTTTTGGCTTTTGTCCTACGAATTCATTCTGTTTTCTTAGCTATTTTTCTGGGTATGTTGATAGGCAGGTTTTCATGGATTTAACATTACTCCAGGCAAGAAGCTATTCTCTTTTATTCTCATTAGTTTAAAAAGTTATAACATTATTAAATAGGGAGCAAAGAAAGTAGAGAAGATCCCAAGACAGCTTTTAGGCAGGCTGATTTTTGGAGAGGGCCCTGAACCCTGAGAGCCTCTCAAGTCTTCCAGGACAGGCCATTGTGTGGAGAGCAAAATGGAGTCATTTAGTCATTAGTTCTTCAGATATCAGCCCAAGAGGGGAAGCTGTCTGCCTCTCCCCACAATTTAGACACTTATCTTACAAATTCACCAAGCTCGGTGATTTCTGAACAATGCCAGCTGTTAAGGAGCCATTTCCCTGGCATTTTCCCCATAATTTGATTTGAAAGAAAAAGATTAAACTCAGTCCGACCCAGAAATGTCAGCCCAATGCCCTCAAAGAGTTGACAGGAAAAGAAAAAAAAAGAATTGCAGACTTTTTCAGCTGAAGAAATCACGTTTACCTGTGCATTAAGGAGAGACAGTAAGGCCTAGGCCAGAGGGTGAATGTGGATATGAAAACCACGGAGATTTCTCCTCCTAGAGAGATGAATTAAAATGAGGGCTATAACTTTTGGGCAATATTAATTTTAGGAATAAAAGTTCAATAGTTCTTACATGGGCATCAGCTGGTATGACTATGTTAGCATTTTAAAGATATTTATAACAATATTTATAACAACTAAGTTTTCCAAGATGTATTTCCAAGATGTGTCAGGCTTAGGATATATAGCAAATATTTTATTTAAGGATGATTTACATGATAATGTTGCTTTTGTTTCTTTGTCCAGGTCACTGATTTCTAGAGAGGTTAACTTGCTCCAAGTGAAACAGCTAATAAAGGCAAGAGCTGGGTTTTGGTTCAGGGCCTTTTCTCATCTTCACATCTTGGAGACTTAGTCACAATGCTTTGCATCTTCTATGAAAAATGCAATGTAGAAGTGTGTTGTAAACATTCTAACTATTTGAATAGCTTGATTTTTTACTAATACCATCACTCATTCTCTTTCAGAATGCAAGCACTTTAAAAATAGTCTTCTTGAGGTTGTTCTCCTTACCTTTCTGCTGTGGGCTCTATTTCAGTTTACTGAGGAGCATTTTCAGAGCACCACTATTTCCTAGGTTGACACTACCCTCTTAATTTAGTGGCAACTCCAAAATATTTCTAATTTCATCTGATCTATAAGTCAGTGTTTAATATAAAGAAATGTATTATATATTCATAACATAAATACGATTTCAGTTTATAAATAATCCAATTCTCTTCTTTTCACAGATAAACAAAGATCCAGGCATAGACACTCACTTTCCCAGAGACACACAACTTGCTGGGTGCCAAGTCAGAGCTGGTCCCAGACTCCCATTTCCTAATCTAGTGCTTGTTCTAGTGTTTTATTTCAAAGGCATTTATACCTTTTTCACATAACTTCTTAGAATAATGAGATATATATATATATATATATATATATATATATAGAGAGAGAGAGAGAGAGAGAGAGAGAGAGAGAGAGAGTCTATAATATGTATATATGTAAATTTACTATGTACATTAGCACTTTTATTTTTCTCCCTTTACGCTTTTAATGTAACATTTCATATGGCTTCCCTGTTTTCAACAATTGTGCCTTAAAGTACCCCTGTTTTTTCATTCACAACAGTGCCTAGGACAGTTCCAAGAAAACATTAACTCCTCATTAATTATTTAATGATTGATTAATCATCTTTGAGATGAATTTGCATGCATTTATGATTTTAAATTCCTCAGTATGTCATTTTTATTATTTCCTATTTATTTTTTATTGGTAGACTTCTATTAAACTCAGAGGTCATCTTGTGGTGCTGAGACTCTGAAACCTATATTCCAAGAGCAACTAGGACACCGTAGAATTTGGTTCTGTTAATAGCTCCTTTGACATTGCTGAAAGTTACTAAATCTAAATTTCCATTCCCATATGCCAAGATGCCTCCCAGTGATAAAAAGTAATGAAACTGCATTAAATAACAGAAATGCTTGCCTTAAGACACTTAGGGGGTCCCTTTGTCTTCATTCTGAGTCCTTTGAACTTGGTGTGATGGAGAGGAGACTTGGTAGGAAAGGAGACACCCAGGCGGGCAACCAGGAAAGTATTTGGGATAGATGATTTGAAAGAGAAGTATATTAGAGGGACCAGATTTCAATGGGGTTTACCTTTACTTGGGTTCCTAAGTAATTTTTTTGTTAAGCAATGTAAAAAGATAGAATTTTGCTTTAAGGATTCCCAGAGATTGAAGGGCAAATTAACCAACTTGTAACTACACAGTGTAAATTATTTCACCTAATGGGAAATACACACATGCATATGTGTTTGTCTCTGTGTGTATCATATAAATAATATTCCTTGTTGATTCAGTTAACTGCTTTGTACTTGAAAGGACATAGGATGGCTTATAGAGGTTTATCAATGATAATTGTATAAGACATTAAGAGAAGGTAAGAAAGAAAAATTAACAACAGAAGAGATTTAAAATGAAGCCAAGAATGAAGCATATATAAAATATATAGCATATAAAAAAGGGTATATTTGATCTAAGTTGGTCAATAAAACTCTAGGGTCAAAGGGTTCTGATATTCATGAGCCATGTTACTTTGGACAAGTTTTTTCATGAATTTGGATAAGATTTTGTATGTGCTGTTGACACAGACAGGAGAAAGGGAAATACTAGGTAGAAGAGGGTGGTTCCCTGGCAAAGACCCTACCCTCAAGTCTGGAGACCTGTAGCCCTAAATGGGGACAACAGGCATTCCTGTTTTCACACCCAGAAAGTTACCTTTTGGTCTGCCATGCCCCCTATTCTGTACCCATATAAACCCCAAACTACAGGATTCAGAAACAGATGAACAGTTGAGGAGATGAGGAGACAAGCAGATGGATGGCAGAATGACATGGCAGAGAAAAAGAAGATGAATTCCTGAGTACCAAGAGCTAGGCTGGGGGTGGTCAAAGAGGCATTTGACTGCTGGACTGAACTTCCAGGGGAAGATCATCTTCCTACTCCATCCCTCCTTCCAGCTCCCCATCCATCCTGTGTAGAGCCACCTCCACATTCAATAAAATCCTACATTCATCCTTCAGGTCCATGTGTGACCTGATTCTTTCAGGATGTAGGGCAAGAGCTTGGGATACAGAAAGCTGTCACATTGTCCCTCTGCCCTTGAGAAAAGGCAGAGGGTCCATTGAGCTGGTTAACACTCAAGTTGTCCAAGGATGGCAGGTCTAAAAGGGCACACTGTAATACACACCTCTCTGGGCTCCTGCACCTGTCCATCTATGCTCCTCCTCCTCTCAGAGGTTTGAGTGGTGGCAGCAATCCAACAGGTGAGCCACACCCATGTCACATGTCCTGCAAGGTGGATCAATGAACTCTCCCATTTCACTGTGTTTTCAAATACTTACAGAACATTTTTCCTGCCCTATAGAAACTGGTAGTCTAAGTAGGAAAATAAGACTTACTTGATGGAAACGATTAAAATGGACTCTTGTAATTACACACACATGCTCCATCTCCCTCGAGCCTGGATCTCATCCTCTTTGCTTCTGTTTCAGCCATGCTGCTGCCATGCTCCCTACCCACTTGCCATGTGGATGGCCATCTCTGGTAACAAGTGTGTTCTGTCTTGTCGCTTCTAACCCAAGGCATTCCTTTTGGACAGAAGGTTCAGGGAATCCCTTCCACTGTCACTGACTGGAGTGTCTTCACTATTTTTTCTTGAGTCACAATCTTTGCTGTATTATTTTTTCTTTTATTATTATTATTTTTTAACCAAAGTCTTAATCCAATTTTTAAGATCTAATTTAATTATCTTCCTCCAGGATCCTCCATAAATCTGCATCACCTCGTGCCCTCAGGAGCACATCCAGTCCCTATATTACAGCTTTTGTTATTTCTGTCACTCTCAATGGCTGCATTTGCTCTTACCCCTTGGGGTTTTTCTCTCATTTAACTTTGACACATGTCTTCATTACCTCCTTGAGAGGAACTCCAGGGGCCTAGAAAGAACTGCTGGAAGTGGCTCATACAGTTTCTCAGAGGTGGTAGCGATCGGATGATGCAAATTTTACAGAGGAGAGAGTTGTTATATCTGAAGCAACACAGCTGTGAGACACTTTTGCTGCTCACTGATGAGAAGAAAGCTAGTGCTGGAACAGATCAGTCTTGAAAGAAGTTGAGTTGACCCTAAAGTCCTAAGGCCCAGCATTCAAAGGTGGAGAATAATTCTACCTGATGCAAACTGAAGTTTGAATCCAAAGGCATCCATCCAAGAGGACAAAGCTGTAAGAATTTCCTGAAAGTAGTTGGATTCCATGTATCACACAAAACATCAGTGACGCAATAATGTATGCAACACACATCAGGTAACATGGAACTTTTAGAACATCATGATCAGCCTCCATTTAAATAGCTACCCACAAGAAACCTGGTTTTGGAAACCTTGTGGGAATCAATCCACATAAGCAAAGTTGTATTCTATTGCTAGATAAGTTCTCTTCTTAATATTTTAATGAATATGTTCGTAAAACTTACGAATGTTTCAAATTTTTAAGAGGAGATACTGAGCATAATTGAAATTTGTAGTTAGCTTTTCAAGGTCATAACAAATACACATTATTTTATTTTTAATTTTGTGGCATTATCAGAAGCTTTTATGATAAAAAGGGCTATCTGACTTTACCATAAATGACTTTAAATTGTAGTGATGCTTGGCTTCCTACAACTACTTTTGATTTCTTTACTGCAGTATTAATTCATATACACATATATCTCACAATAATACCATATGTGTTTCTACATGTGTGTGACTATGTACAATATATGGTGGCCTACATATGCTTTTTAAACTACCTCTTTCAGTTTATTAAAAATAGCTATGTTCCTAATTATGACTGTCTTTAAATCTTCTAAGATCAATACCTTCAACTTAATGTTATAATTTTTAGTACGTTATAATTTCCAGTCAAAATAAATGTTGGGGTAGCTTAGTGGCCAAGATAAGTTCAGACATTGAATTGCGTGGAGATTTTGCGGGTTGTCCACTGAGAAACTGTTACCACCCACCTTTTCATTGTCAACAGACAAATTCAGGTACAGATTCTGTTCCAAGTTTTTGGAAAAAATAGATACAGTTGGGGGAAAAGGTTGTTTTTTAAAAATCTGAACACAATATTGATTATAAATTTAATTAATGCACCAGGTATCCTATTCTGTGACTTGGTGACAGATGTTTTCCTGAGGCCATGGAATTAATGTATCCTTGGAAAATCCCTTTTAACAACTCCTTGGGCACTGATTAACCTTGAAATATGGGGTAAAAATCATGGCTTTAGTGTCTCAATTTTCTGTTTTTCTTGGGATCAAACATCAAGAGTTAGAGATCTCCTGAGAGACAAATCATTTGACTGAGAAGAGTGTTTGTTGTTGTTTTGCTTGTACTTGAACTGAGATGGGAATTGGATGTCTGGGATCGGCAGTGGAGCGGGAACAGATAAACATACACAATATGAGTGGCAAGAGTGGAACTAAAGAGTGATGCCAAGAATGAAAACTGGCTGTCTAAAAAGAGGATGCCAAGAGCCAAGTGGAAAAGTACCAAGATTTGTATCAGGAAATATGAGGCTAAATCAGGAAGTTGGAGGGAATCTGAGACTCAAAAAGTTAAGAGCAAGCTACGGTGTAGAATTTCCTTAGAGTCTGACTTTGGGCAACTGTCTCTAAATGTGTCCCTTCTGCACTTGCATCACAGGCTGTCCCTGGAGACTGGCACTTTTTATTTTATTGTGGGATTTCTCAAACATCGGTTAATAGTAGACTTTCCGGGAAGCCTTGTTAAAGACATAAATGTCCTTGTCCAAAACCTATTATACTGGGTTAGGGCAAGAATTGGTAAATTTTTTTGTGTAAAGTACCAATAGTAAATCTATTTGGCATCGTGAGCCACATGTTCTCTGTTGCAACTTATCATCTCTGCTCAACTAGCACAAGAAAAGCTATACATAATATGCAAGTAAGTGAACCTGGCTGTGTCCCATTCACATATCTTTATACCATCTCATGCCAGTTAGAATGGCGATCATTAAAAAATCTGGAGACAACAGATGCTGGAGAGGATGTGGAGAAATAGGAACACTTTTACATGTTGATGGGAGTGTAAATTAGTTCAACCATTGTGGAAGACAGTTGTGGCTATTCCTCAAGGACCTAGAAATAGAAATACCATTTGATCCAGCAATCCCATTACTGGGTATGTATCCAAAGGATTATAAATCGTTCTATTATAAAGACACATGCACACATATGTTCACTGTGGCACTTTTTACAATAGCAAAGACCTGGAACCAATGCAAATGCCCATAGATGGTAGACTGGATAAGGAAAATGTGGCACATATACACCATGGAATACTATGCAGCCATAAAAAATGATGATTTCGTGTCCTTTGTTAGGGACATGGATGAATCTGGAAACCATCATTCTCAGCAAACTGTCACAAAAACAAAATCAGACACCCACATGTTCTCACTCATAGGCGGGTGTTGAACAATGAGAACACATGGACAGAGGGAGGGGAGCATCATACTGGGGTCTGTTGGGGGAGCTAGGGGAGGGACAGCAGGGGTGGGGAGTTTGGGGAGATATAACATGGGGAGAAATGCCAGATATAGGTGACAGGGGGATGGAGGCAGCAAACCACCTTGCCATGTACGTACTTACGCAACAGTCCTGCATGATCTTTACATGTATCCCAGGGCCTAAACTATAATAATAATAATAATAATATATACATATATACATACATATATATATATATATATATATAAATTAAAAAGGCAGTATGCCAGAACTGGACCAAAGACTGTTTTGCTGACATGTGGTTTAGAACAGTATTATTCCTTTCCCCAACATAGTAACCTAATGCATCTTGAAAAGAAATTAGCAAAACATGGTGGCTTCAAAATAGGAAGCCAGCTATTTCTCTTAATGATCTATATAGTTTTGCACGTAATGTTATTATTGGTGTTCAATATCTCTATGTCTAAATGTTGTCAAGAGATGAATGTACAAAACTGTGGTGGCAAATATTGTTGATTTTAGAAGCTACTGGTAAAGGATCCTGGTTCTCCTAGTAATTCATTCACTTGCCTGCTCTCATGTTAGAAGTTCGAACTTTAGCAGGTCAATTTCATTCATAGCAAAAATACGTTTCCTCAAACAGTATGCTAATTAAAGAAGAGAATATTTATTCCTACCTTCATGGAGGAAGAAGGGCAAATTTCTGTCTGACAATTTAAAGACTTCTGAGAATGTAAGCAATATTTATTGAGAGGAAAAATGAATTGACGACAAAACTATGGAGATTATTCTAGGCTAGCATCTAGGATTAATAGCTAAGTGAGATTGTTTATAAAGTCCTTTTCAGTGAGGCAAGGGTTTATTGGGATGTGGGACAGAGGGAAGAGAACGTAGATTTAATGTTTAGATTAGGCAGGCTTTCTGTGTGTGTGTGTGTGGTGTGTGTTGTGTAAGACATGGTTGTGAAAGCAATGATGGCATGTGTTAAGGAAATGAGCAGCATTGAAATGAAATGTTTCCAAAGGCATTCTAGTCAAACCTAGCTCCTCCATTAAGGAATCAGCTCATCTTTTGCCTCTCAGTGGGGTGTAATCAGTTTCCAGATTAGCATTTGCTGTCACAAGGATTTGAAGTTGCTTCTACATGACTCACAGAGCCACTATGAGCTTAGGAAGAGCCAGCTCCCTGTAACTGCTGGCCATCCTCTATGGGCCTCGGACTCCTGTGCACATTCTGCAGTCAAATATAGACAAGTGGCAAACCTTGATGTTTGTTTTGGGGTGCTCTTAAGTATAGCTCTCTGACTTCCCCTCTGTCTCTTTTGAGCTTCCCATATTTTGTCTTTTTGACATACTGGCCCCAAGTCTTTCTAAAAGTACAGTCCTTTCTTGGAATCCATTTTTTTAAAGAAAAAATAATAAAAAAAAAACCACCAAAAATGAAGCCCAGTTATCTTCCAAAGGAGAATACTGTGCCCTAAGAAGGGACTTGACTTCTGGGAAGAACGAGTTTAATAAACCAATGGAAGATAATACCTTTACTAGCTATTTGAATTTTATTCAATTATTTGCCTGTTCCTGGGGGTTCTATACTCTTTCCTCACAAGGATTCACTAATTGGAAATTTCATTAGGAGATGGTCTCAACCACCTCTGTAAGCTGTCACATTTGGAAAGGTTTTGGATCACAATTCTACAGTTAATTAAATGACAGGAGAGCTAGGTTTTTGTTCTGTCTCAAATTACTAAATTAGCTTTAAAATTGTGTTCCCAGTATCGATCTCAGTTTTCTCATTCTATAAAATTAAAGTTTGGAATTACATCATTACTGCTTGAAATGCAGAATAAGCTAATTTATACTCAAGTATTAATGATTGACAGTGGCTTAATTTGTTAGTTACCCAGGAACAGTGAAATCTGAAAGTCCGTAGACCCCAAAGGTTCTGCATTAATCTCATTTTAGTCACCATTGTCAATGCAGAGAGCTTCCCAATTTCCTTCAAATCATATCATTTAGGATGCAGTTGCAATTGAGGCAGACAGAAAAATGGTCAGAAAACAGAAAAATGTTTTTGTTAAAGATAGATGCTTTTATGATTTCTGTGAGGATTTTGAGTAGGGAAGAACCATAAGCAGGTACCGGTAATCAGACATGCTTTACATGCTGAGATTTGGTGGAGGGGTTGGTGCTTTTAAGTGCAAACATCCCAAAAGATTTTGAGACAGAGAAACCTGTGCCTACTTGGTTTTGGCATGTAGGTGTCACCACTTTGAATACATACTCTGAACGTTAATCCACATTCTCCTCCCCTGTGCTCCATAACTCCATAGACTCCTATCTCATTCAAAAAAAATTTTTTAAATAAATGATCTTGCTTAGCTATAATGCTTGATGCAAGCTTAGAATAATATCCACAGTTCTATCTTCAGCTCATTTCTCTTCTTTCCCTGCATTGCTTACCCCATGAGGGTAGGAATGATTTTTCTCTTCTTTCATTTTGCATACGGTGTGAGACTGTAAATCTTCCATATCTGATTGGACTCTGCCCAAATGACTATTCCCTCTTAGATGAGAGATATATTTCTTAATGTGTTATTCAGACCATTAGGTTTATGTCTTCATTCAACAGATAATGACATGCTGTTGCAGGCACTCTGTAGATGTCAGGGTTTGTGAACACAGCAGACAACATCCCTGTCCTCATGGAGTATGCGTTCTGGCAAGGACAGGCTGCCAATTAACAACAACAAAAGACCCACATATGTCAGCTTGTAAAAGTGTGCTCTGGAGAACAATAAAGCAGGGGGAAAAGCAAGAGCGCAAATAATCAGAGGTGGATGCTTTTTAAACGGAGAGGCCACAGAAGGCCGCTCTGAATAGGGGACATTCAATCAGATCTGAAGGAACTGATCAGGCATGTCACATGAGATCTAAGTCAGGCTGGTTCCTAACCGATATGGCTTTTTCTCATACACTGTTCCCAGCTATTAGTTACCTTCTTCCTTATGCTAATGTGG